CACTCCTCTCTCCATTGCAGGTTTTCCCTTTTTTGCACACGCACCCCCCCACACCCCCCATTAAATAAGTTAATCCCAGAGGTGCTGACTTGCTCGGCCATGGCCAGAGGCAGATACGACTTGCAGTCAGGGGAGCTTCACCCATCTTTCCACAGGAACGCCCCCGTAGCCCCTCCTCTGCCACACAAACCCACACACAGTTATTTAAACATTCACATATACACCCTGTCCAAGCACCAGCATTTGAACAAGAGATGGTATCAGTCAGCAGGACCTACAGCAGCAGGAGGTGCTAGTGGTACCAGACCAGCCTTGCCCCAGCATGTAAACAGCAGCTAGGGCAACACGGAGCTGGTACATAGCGAGGTGGGAGGAGGCATACACAGTAACCTGGTACACTACGGACTGAATTTCTCTAGGAGGACACAAAATATCTGCATGTTTCCACTAGTATCTCCCAAGAACCACACTGTATATAGATGCAGGCCATTTCAGTGCACTTCTCACTGTCTGCAGGGGTGGAATAATCCATTCAAACTCCAATATAAACTATCTTGGGCAGTAACCAAGGTGGAAGAATTCAGATCTGCTCGGCAACCAACAGTGCAGGAAGACTCACATTCCTCACGTTCCTTAAGATACTAAGCCAAAGCACAGAGCATGCTAATTCTTAGTGCTTCATACCACTACCCTTACCCTTTGGGAGGCAAGTCCTTCTCCCAATTAACTTTCAGCTCTCAAGGAGACAAGCTGTTCCTCACCACAACCATCATGACTCATCAGCACCATCTGCCCTTGATGCCAGCAAACTCCAAAGCTTGAAGATAAAAGTCAAGCCTCATGCATTACGAGGAGCAGCAAAGAAAGGCTATTAAAACACACGTGCAGACTTAGGTAAAAAAAAGTCAAATCATGGAAACATGGCGCTTTTTTTTTTTTTTTTTTTGGTTAAAAATGGAGAATAAGCCAAGTGTAACATTTTGTTTGTGCAAAGTGAGATTTGTCCTAACTTGTCAATTACTTGTCAATTCTGAGTTTCAACATGGAAGGAGAATGGTTTTGTATTCTCAACACTTCCCCCCCCTCCCACCTAGTCTTATCCCAATTAATCCTCTCTTCCTTTGGATCTGCAAAGAAGGCATGTGCCTCATTCAGTAAAGCATGAAAGACAAAATACTTTACCTCTCAAGTTGTCATACAAAAATGCAACCTATTTCTTCCTCTTTCCCAACTACAGTTAGTTTTTAAACTTTTAAGAAGGCAAAAATAGGTTGTTCATTTTTTTCTTGTTCTACAGTTTCCAAACACACTGAGGTTTTCATTCACTATAGATCCTTCCCCATTTTCAGGGGTGTTTGACCCAAAGAAAGACTACCTAGTAGGAGTTCATATCAGTCCAAAACACTAAATTGTTCAAAGTACAATTCATAGCAGCAGCAAGACTCTGAAACTCACAAAATATACCCCATTTGGAACATCCTCAGAATTGTACTTGTGGGCTCTCCACATTAAAAAAAAAGCTACCTTTCAAAATCAGTGGGTTTGCTTCTTTAATTTACTTATTAGGCAGCCATGAGGCTGCCCATTTTTGCAGCAGTGGTCTCCTTAAAGCATTTTTAGATCTGTGCAAAATAAGAAGCAATAATCTTCTGGCTGTTTTGCCCTCACTTGATACAAACGCCAAGAGAGGGGAAGTTGATAACTTCTCTATTTACTACAATAGGGTAGTCATTGACAATCACACAAAGTTTAGCACGAGTGCAGTAAAAGTCTGAAGTAAGAACAGATAAGTCCTAAAGGAACTGCCTGGGGCAGGGCAAAGGAGAAATTTATTGAGGGTATCTTGGAACAACCTTTGTTTGTCTTTTGTACGAGTACAGATAAGGGCATTTCTGCTTAAGAAAGTGGGAATTGCTAAGGAAACTCCTCAAAAACCAAGAAGCAGCCGATCCCTCAAGCATATCCAATTGAGGCATTTGAAGGGATCAGGAAGAACCTTTGCACAATAAGTACTTATTTTGCAGGAACTTCCTCACATCTCCCCTGCCACGTGCTTGATTCACTTCTGAATCACCATTATGTGCTAGGCTACAGAAACCAACAGCCTTCTCGCTCTCTACAGGATTGAGTAATATCCCCATGGGAAAGTCAAAAGAAATGTTACGTTCCAGTGTGGTTTTTTGCCTTACCTTTAAATTCCTTAGCATGATTAAAAGTGTTTACATCATCAAATATGAGTACAAGGAAAGCATGCAAAAAACCCAGCCTGTATTAAATCAAGCACTCTTCATCGTGCTATGAAATGCAACCAACAAGAATCAGGAAAGAATGGCAACTTAACAGACATGTAACATCAAAATACTCTTCAGGATTCCTGAAAGAGAAATTCTAGACAGTTTCTGAACCTCAAGCTTGAATATGCTTTGCTAAAAGACAGGACAAATTATACCACGTTCTGGTTCAGAAAGGAAGAAATTAAAGCCTACCATAGAAACAGATGCATCTTCAGAGGATTTCTGGTAGAGACTGGAAATTTTTTCAGCACGCATAAGGTATTCTGCAGTCTTCCTTTTCACTGCTTCTCGACGAGTTGGACTTGATTCACCTCAATGGAGAAAAAGAAGTTTTTTCTACAGAGAGAGGTACTAAGTAATCAAAGTACACAACTGCTTTGATTCTACCTTTTTTATTTCCTTTGGGTTACTCATAATCAAACCTACAGATATGCATCTTATAAAAAAGCAAGTATTATGATCTCAGAGTTGTACAAAAATAACAATTTAAGCCTTGCTATAGAATAAGGTAAATAAAAAGTCTTACCTCATTTTTCTGCAACCTAGCATATGTTCCTATGGTAACATAAGTAAGAACTCAGACAAACCACTGACTCGAACGTTGTACTCAAAAAACCAAACTCAATTAGGGAAGACATGGTAAGATATTTACAACAAAACAATAAAGAAACTTGGGGTTTTTTCTCCTGTTTCTAAGTACAAAGGAAAGCCAGAAATGCTATTAATAGCCAGAGGCAACATGAGAGACACCAGAAACTCTTGCTCACAGCTTTCTGATGCTAGATGCTCCTTGTCTGCTGGCTTGGGGTCACACAGGAAGAAAGAATGAAGCACTGGAGCCAACTACTTCACTTCCCAGAGGGCTGAACCACCACTGTGCTATGTCTAATCCACCCAAACTCTTGCAAGAGGTGAGAATCCTGCGATACTGCATAAATTCTGTATTCACTCTCAAATTCACAGTTTATGTTTAGGCATTCCCATCGTGAGCAGTATATTGTTATAATAGACTCAGTTTGTGATGACAACACCCAACCAGTGAACTGCCAAGCAAAGATAAAAAGACTGTGAGCCACAACTGTTACCACAGAGAATTGAGATTGCTATGCAGAAAAATAGCTAGAGACAACTGTCCCAGAAGGAGCCTGAACAACAGCAGAGACTTCGTATGGCCCTACAGTCTCTTCCAGCCCTAACTGAGCCATCCAAGACTTGCAGAGACACAGCCTAGGCAGGGACAGCTTCTGCACCTGCAGGTGCAAGCCAGCACCTCTCACACACTGATGCTCAAACAGGACAAAGAACTGCAAGGATATCTGCCTAAGAGCTACTCAACATGAAAGTCACAGTAAGGAACAGGAGAGGTAATAAATTCAACACGCAAATACACAAACCCTAAGCAGCAGCAGATAACAGAGACAATAACGAAGACGGGAACTCATTTAAGACACTGATCAATGGGCCATGAAAGGAACCTCTGAGTGTAACCTTGAAGAAGTTCAACCAGAACCTTGGCAACTGATAAGAAGGAAAACAGCATTATTGTGGGTTATCTAGAATGGGTATCATAAAAAAGAGCAAATTTATTATGGGATGTCTGAGGGAGAACTTACTGTGCAAATTCTTGCATGCAAAACATTAAGGGAGGTTTCCAAGGGGTGATTGTGGCAATGTGTAAGACATTGTGAGATGTCTCAGGGCAGGATTAAAAGTAAGGAAAAGGATGGGTCAAGTTGAATGGGGAGCACAAACAGGACAAAACAAGAGGTGGGAACTTCATGGGTCAGTTGTGTGTGTAAGCAGGCTGCTGGTCAATATGGCTGTCTGACTTAGTCCTGTACCTGACCACCACTGTCTGTGTTACCTTCTCATGCAACTGTTCCTCACTAGAACCATAGAACGGTTTGGGTTGGAAGGGACCTTACAGACCATCTAGTTCCACCCCCCCTGCCATGGGCAGGGACCCCTTCCACTAGACCAGGTTGCTCAAAGCCTCATCCAGCCTGGCCTTGAACACTTCAGGGATGGGGCATCCACAGCCTCTTTGGGCAATCTGTTCCAGTGCCTCACCACCCTCTCTGGGAAGAACTTCTTCCTGATACCTAATCTAAACCTCCCTGCTTTCAATTTAAACCCATTACCCCTTGTCCAGTCAGTACAGGCCCTTGTAAAAAGTCCTCTCCCAGCTTCCTTGTAGCCCCTTCAGGTACTAGTTTTTGCATTAGTGTGCTCATTACTCTCCGTGCACAAGATCCACCAACAAACTCCCAAGAGATAAGCAGGCGAGTCAGACAACATCTGCGAGCTGGACCATGGAGCCGACTACCAGAGAAACCTGACCAGCAGGCCTTCCCCAACCAGCAGCAGTTCAAGCAGTTGGGCTGTTCACTGCCCGTGGCTATGCAGGTGTCTCTAAAGGCAGTATCCTTCTGCTTGTGTCAATCGATTTCTGGTCAGCCGTGCCCATACAGAGTATGTGTGCACACATGGAAGCCCCTCTCAGAAATCTGCACTCAGCTTCACGACTGGTAGGACCCAAGGAAAGGGTAAGCTGCAGCCACCTCTCCTCAGCAGTTCATAGCAGGAGGAATCGCTCTGATCCTTCTATCAGCCAGATGTGGCCAGCTTTAACACCAGCTCCTCAATAAAGAAGAAGGAGCAGGTTGTCTGACTTCAATTTTCCCACAACACTTTCTAGATGGCAGAGAATAATGCAAGACTAAGCATAGGGTCTCTTCACAAAGGTCATGGAGAGCTCCTCTGCTGTAGGCTCTCAGAGCTGCTGTTTTCTCCCTGCCCCCATACAAGAGAAAACGAATCACTGCTCTCGCTTTAAACAACCCACAGACTCGGAGTGTGAAGAAGGCAGAGGCTCTTTCCCACTTCATGTTGCCCTGGTCTACCACTAGTCACGTTGACCCTGTTATAAAATAAAAGACTCCTCCCTCCCTTTCATAGCATGACTACAAACTACGTTAAACACACAGAACCCTCGCACCAACTCCGTCAAGAATATGTAGAAAAGACTTGGGATCTACTCCAAGCTCTGCTGTGACTGATCTATTGTAAATCCTATTATCTACCTAAACTTGGTTTGGGAAGAAACTGGACAGTCAAAAATTCAGTGCACTTCTACATATTACAGATATGTACCAATTTCTCAGTAATTTCTCTCACTCTAAAGACAGAGGGGATTTTATTCCAGGTCCAGCACCTCTAATATCAGCCTTCACTCAGTGGGACTCTCCTGATGAAATTCCCCTAGATGAGACTGCCAGTCTTATTCCCATCTAGGATAAAAAAAAAAAACAACGCTCAATTGTTTGAATCTGGCTTTATCAGAAGAGAATAGATACACAGTATTTTATAAGTGTGTGTTGTAATTTCTTAAAGCATGACTAACACTCTTCCTTTCATCTCTACACTTAATCTTACGGCACCATAAAACTTCCTTATGCCGATCCACTGGTGATCGACCATATTCTCTCAGACAGACAAAGTGGCAGTCGCTCAGGGACAAGTCATCTGCACAGCAGCAATAGACTCTTCATCCAGCATTTTCTTGAAGCAGACTGGTAGAAAACTGCTAGGTTAGTGTCTAAGGCTACCATAAAAGTCAAGCTTCCTGCTTAATTGTTAGTTATGTGTATTTAGTTTGGATGTTTATTGCCTTTTTTCAATGCTTCAGTAATTTTACAGTAATTAACGCAAACAAGCTAGGATGTCCCCTTAGAGCTGTCTTTGTTCTCCCTACTTTCACAAGACATTAATTTCAGTTTTCCTTCTACTTTTCCTTCCTGAGTAATTTGTTAAATAACATTTGCAAACTGTTCACTCGTTAAAATCTTCAGCCATAAAAGAGAGTGTGGATTCACAAAACAGCATTTACTCAAGTTTTTGCATCTTATTTCTGAGTAAGATCATTAACATCTCTGTGTCCGAATACTTTAACAGGTGGATGTTTGAGAATTGGATTTAAGAAAAAAGGATTTTGGCTTTTTATTCTTTACATTAATTTACATTACAAGAAAATGTAAAAAGCTACATCCCAATACAAATTCCCATTTAAATAGTCAGTAACTCACAAGAATCTGTAAAGAAGCACAGGTTATTAATTTTAAAAATAAATAAACCATATTACTTTAAAAGCCTTAAACACAGGGTAATGAGTAATAATAAAGACCTCATTACACTAAAAATAATTTTTAGCATTTATGCCAAGTTTCAGGTCACAGAACTCTTCACTGAAAACTAAATAAATCACTAAAACACAGTACTAGAACAAATCCTTACATTTGACAGATGTTAAAGCTATGATGCAGACTTTATGCATTTTTTTTTAAATGCAATATTACATTTTGTTATAGGATAGTGTTTTAAGTTACGCAAAATGTGTACTCTCAAAAGAATTGACTAATTTATTCCTAGTTAAGACTTTTGATTTAAACATTCTGTGAGCATATTGAGCTCCTGTTTCCATTCTGTGGTTAGCTCACAATAATCTAAAGAGGTACGTCTCTTTAATTACAATTTATACTTGAAAGGCATTTTTCTTTAAATGGTAGCAAACAGGAAATGTTTAAACTGTGTCAAAGCCTTTGATGAATCTTTACAACTGCTCATAAAAGATCATCCTGCTTAAAATAATATTGATTTTTCATTTATTTTCCTAGATACTAGAAGATTTACGTTTCATCTGATCAGGATCAAAGCTTCTCCCCCCTCCTGATCACTGGGATTAAATCAGCAATGTCATTTTACATGTTTAAAAACTGCACTGCTAAAGCAAGATATAAAAGTGTAGCAAGGCTGATCATAGAGACCTTAGAATAAAAACCCCTCAAGATTCCCCATCTCTCTCCCTCTCTCTCCCTCTGCATTTGCTATGGAGCAGCTGTGCCTCACACACATTCACATGAATGAAAATATTAAGGCGAGAAACCACCCACTTAGTTTATTTTCCATATGACTTTCCTGTAATTATTTTGTAAACTGTTCACACAACAATATATAAAAACATCTGCAAAAACAGGTAATTAATGTGTCAAGCCAAACTAATGCATTTTTTATGGTGTCCATGCTTCGTCAACTGTAATTATAACTCTTTTTAAGCAAATGATGATGTGTTTGTTGCAATGTGCAAGTGGTTATTTTAGATGCTCTGTTTACTATTACTGCAAACAGAATATAAAAACTCTACAGCTACTTTGTTGCACATATAAGCCTTCATCTACACAAGCACAAGCAGGCTTCTCTCTCGTTTTCCAAAGGCTTTGCCTATTTCAAAGAAATAAAAATATCTTAAAATGAA